CTCAGAGATTCAGTATGCCGAGGTTTCAAATCTATGATGGTAAGTTTTTTAAATAGAAATTTAAAAATTTTACTAGCAAAATTTTTTTGAAATTAATTTTTTTTCAAATAATTTTTTTTCCCAATTAATTTTTTTGGGTAAATTACACTAACACCCCCTGAGGTTTATGTTTATTACAGTTCCCCCTCACCTTTTGGAAATTATATTTCCCCCTTAAGGTTTAAAATTTCATTACAGATTTTTCCCTTTAGCAATTTAATTTTTTTAAGTACTAATTTTGCCTTCACTGGGTAAATTACATTGACACCCCTCACATTTTAGAAATTACAATCCCTTCTCTAAGGTTTAAAGTAGTATTACCAATTGCCCCCTTGGTTAGTATCAGTTGGAAAAAAAATTTATTGACAAAAAATTAATTAAAAAAATTAATTGAAAAAAAAAATGTTAGTAAAATTTTTAAATTTCTGTTTAAAAACCAACATAAACTCATTTTTTGAATTTACTCTTTTTCTTCAAATTTACAAACTGAGACAACCATTTATAAATCAAAAAAAGTATCGAACAAGTTTTTATAATAGTTTTTAAAATTTTTGTAAATATAAATTTAAAACTGAAAACGATGGAAAAAATATCGTAAAATTAACAAATAATTAAATAAGTTACCAATATAAAAAATGACTTATCAAAAGATTCTTAGGCTATATATGGTTTGATTTTTTTAAAAAAAATTAAAAATTAAAAATTAATTTGATTAAAAAATAAAAAACAATTATCACTTTTATATAATTTTTATCTTTCGAATGGTTAAAAATAATTTTTTATAAATTTAATTAAAACAGTCATATGTATATATATAATCAAAAAAAAAATAGGCGTCAAAATAAATTATCGTAGCGCCAATCATCAAAAATATTAAAAAGAAAAAAAAATTCTGCTGCTATTTAGCAAATAAGAGAGGGAGAAGATAAAGGGTTAGTGACTATTGATGTCCGGTCAGACTATTGAACCAAGCAAACCAGAGCCGCCACTCTACTATACCAATAAACACAGCTCTACAAGGAGTAACTGTCTCAGATTCTCTCTCTCTCTCTAGAATTTCTCGGGGTTTCCATTCGCTGAAGAAAAATAGGTACAGAATCAGCTCCATTACTCTTTTACATATATACAAATCGAACCCAGCTTTTGATTCTCTGATGTATGTATAGACTATAGTATCGTGTGTTTTGAGTTGGGACTGTTCTAGGGTTTCTTCTCAATCACAGACTTTGGCAAGGCGTGTGCACAATAGGGACATTAGAGGTCATTAAACATTTTTTAATTTTTTTTTTTCTATTTCCCTATTTGAATTTAGGTATTTGAATTTCTTGGTTAAGTTTTTGGTTTTCATTGGAGCATTATCTTTAATTGGGTTGGGTTTCTAAGTTCAAAAAGCTTTGATTAATGATGAATCTTGAAACCCATCAATATTAAATACTAACATGTTGTTGATACAAAAGAACAAAGAAAAAAAGGTGTTAGCTGCACTTTTTGATGTGGTAAGCTTGTTGAAAACAATAATTCAATAGGTTCAAGAATTCATGTACTATTGCTTTTGGATCAGTTCATTATGAGTTGTTGGTAAAATTTTAGAATGTAGTTTTTGTTTCTTTATGTTCTTTGTGTCTGCTAGGTACTCGATCAAATGCCACAAAGTGGCTGTGTTTTCTTTGATGTTGCTGACATATGTATTATATTAGAAAATTCAAATGCCTTGTGGTTTTGTTGGGTTGCTTATATGATGAGAGGAAATTGAACACTAGCTTTTCCCTTTGTTCATCAAAATTATTTTCAATTTGCTATTTATTAGAATAGATATCTGTCAATATGGGATAAGGAGCTCACAAGCAACGCAGATATAGCTTTTTAAAAGGACAAGTGTATTGTCATTTTGTGTAGACGTGAGTTTTGGATGCTGTCACCTGAATGAAATTCTATGAAGCACAAGAGGGAGTTTCACCCGAAAGTATTCTCTGATGAACTATTCTGAGGTCGACTATTCCACTTACTACAGGAGAAATGGTTATTTATGGAAACTTGTTCACATTATGTGCACATATTGTATTTTTTGATTGCGTCATTATTAATTTTTTCATTTTCTGATTGCATTACCGTTTCAAATATATCACTACAAATATTGTATATTTATTAAAAATATTGCCCAATACCAAAGAGAGTTCAAAAACAAGTACATACCGTACCAATGACAAACTTGTTCCTTATCCAGTACGGGATTGACAACGTTGGTGTTGGCATTTTAAGTATTAAAAAAAAAATAAATTTGAAGTTAAAAAGATTATTTTGCCCACTAAGGTTGATAGTGAAAATACAAATTAGAGGTTATATAACAGTTGGTTATAGGTAAACTCTCTTAGAAAGGGAGACGAATTGGGCAGCGGTAAGACTTCGACCTAGAACGGTGCTATCTCTTCGGCAGTAAGACTGGTTCGGCGCCGGCAGCGATCAACGATTCGAAAGGGAAGGGTTTTCTTATTCTCTTCTCTTTGCTTTGATCTAGGTATGTTCGGATTCCCCTCTCCCCCCCTCTCTCTCTCTCTCTCTCATGGTTCTGCGATAGCGGGGCTGGGAAGGGGTAGTTGGATCGTCGGAGTGGAGGATAGGCGAGGAGATTACTGAGCTTGGTCCTGGAGGATGGTTACCAAAGGGGTTATAGATGCAAGGTCGAAGCAGAGGCTATTACATCCTTGAGGTTATGGATGCTGATACTAATATTGCGAGTAAGCTGGTTTGCACAACAAAACAAGCTTTATTGAAATTGTAATGCATTAGAATTATGGGATAAATTTGTACAATTTACTGAAACTGCTGGTTTGTTCATGTGAAGGGTACCTTATTGGGCATGCAAGGCCATGAACAATTTGTCTCTTCTTCTTTTTCAATCTTGGAGGAAATGCCAAGAACACTAGGGCTCGACCGATACTTTTAGATATAGAAAACTCAATATCACTCTTGTTTTCCTTGTCATCGATCTGCTTTTCGAGTTCTTTAAAATCAATGTAAGAGTTTTTGTCTGTTCGGTGATTTGTTTGATGTGTAATTTTGGATTTGGTTGTCATTTTGATTTTTTGATTTTTGATTTTTTTTCTCTCAGGAAAACTGGTTTGGAATCGAGTGAAAATGGGCTTGATTTCTGGGATTTTTATGGGGACGATCTTTGGGATCGCGTTAATGGCGGGTTGGCATCATATGATGAGGTATCGGAGCAACAAACGTATTGCCAAGGTAATCTAATTTTGCAATTCACTATGAGTTTGCTCTTGTGTTTTTCAGATTTTGATCCATTTCTGGTTTTGGGTTTGATTTGTAACTGAAAACTTGGGGGGGACTTGCTATGATAGTAACGTAACGTAACTTACTGGAATTTGAACAGTCCCAACTTATAGTCAGTTATCAAATGTCATCTGTTTTAGTGTGTTTGGATGCGCCAAATGACAAATCTCCAAGGGTTTGGACCCAAAGTGGACAATGATGTGCAGTTCTGCTGGGTTAATATAGCTTTGTCTATGAGGGCCAGTGGTGATTTTATTTTTTGAACCTTGGGCCAGTGGTGTATTTGGCCTGCCCACGGGTTGTGGCTAATGGAGTTGCCTTGCCGAACACATCCCTCCCCTCTCGATAATTGCCATTAGGTCATGGCCAAAGCGGCATGGTAATGCCAAAAGCTTGGTCTTGATGTGCCCAGAAGCTCTGTTCGGGCCTATCTACACTGTTCAATGGTGTCAAAATGCTAATGATCTTATAAGGAATGTGACTTTGGGCTGCTTCAGAGAAGCCAGTGTCCTCCCTTCATCGGCCAAAGGTGTGACGATGCCATTGGCCCGAGATGCGCCTAGGACTGGACTTGCCTTGCCCACAGGTTGTTGATGCCAGCAGGTTGTGGCCAAAGCAGCATGGTAAAGCCAAAATCTGGGTGTCAATGTGCCTAGAAGCTCTGGTCGGGCTTCAAAGTAGTCACCAATGTCCCCTCATGGGATATATATAGACCAGGTTCAAATGCTCTCCTCATCTAGAAAGATTTCTCAACTCTCTCAGGATCAAGCACCCCATGAATGAACTTAGTAACAAAGTACAAGGCTATATTAGCCCAGGTTTAGAATGCAGAGCCACCACTGCCCTCACGGGCACGCCACACCGCCTTGAATTAGTGTAGTATCAAGGGCAAAGCTATTTATTAGCCCAAGGTTCAAAGAACAGATCCTCTACCGGCCCTCACAAGTGATTTATATTAGCCCAGCAAAACTGCACATCATTGTCTACTTTGTAGTTGAGGTCGGTGGGATGTTGTTTTGTCGATAAATATGGAAATATGGTTCAAGTACCAACGCATTCCCAGTCTCCTGCACTGTTGGAGTTGGGACTAACCAATTATGAGGATTGGGTTGGGATGTGGAACTTCCGTTCTGTTCTGGAGGGCGGAAGGCTAGAAAGCTAAGATTCATGCATTATTGTACTGGTTTTTCTTAGATCAGCAATAACCTCTCTGTTCTTATTTTTTCCTTTCATAATATTACTGTTGTATTAAAAAATGGTGTGATGTGGTAATTTGTAACATCAATATAGCCAGCAGCATGGATAATTATACTGGTTTTTCTGCATGCTATATGATACTGGTTTTTCTTAGATTATCAATAACCTCTCTGTTCTTATTTTTTTCCTTTAACAATATTACTGCTGTAATTTAAAAATGGTGTAATTTGGTAATTTGCAACATCAATATAGCCAGCAGCATGGATAATTTGAGGTGTGAGCTGAAAATTGATTAGTTTAATGGATCATATTGCCCAGAATAAAATCAAAAAAAATTATCCATAGTCTGTCTGGTATTTGCACAATGGTAATTCAGTTTCTGTGTTTCTTATGGATTCCTTGTAGTTATATATTTATGAAGTTGTCCCTTGATGTTATTTAGGTTATGCAATCGATTTAGATGTCTCATCCGTTAGCTGCATTTTAAAAATATTTTTGTTTGGTTGAAGTCCTTGTTGACATATATTTATCCATTTAGGTTTCCAATGAAGTGCTAGAATCTGGTGAAGAGACATACTTCCCTGCACTTCATGTTAGTTTGGATAATCCTTCTGTAGTGGTATGTTTTCTTATGTGTCTCTGGTGCACACAAAGGATTAACCTGATATCTTATTTATGGCATATTTGGTTTGGTTTATGACCTTTAGTGTTTGTCTTATCTCTGTAGTCTATACCTGTTTTGACGATCAGTTTCTTTAGTTCATTGAAATATGATGTGAATTGAAATGTTTTCATTGGTCCTTCCAATTTCAAAGTGATTTTAAAAAGTTGAAATGTTTTCATTAGCCCAAGGTTCAAAGAACAGATCCTCTACCGGCCCTCACAGGTGATTTATATTAGCCCAGCAAAATTGCACATCATTGTCTACTTTGTAGTTGAGGTCGGTGGGATTTTGTTTTGTCTTATCTCTGTAGTCTATACCTGCACAATTAGTTCATGATAAGCTCATTTGTGTCTCAATGTGCTCAACATATCATTAAATATGGGAGTAACAAGGACAATCCTCTTTGGTAGCTTTTTCCTTTGTTTAGAAATTAGTAAAGCATAAGACTTAAAATCAACAATAATGATTATTATAATCACTGTGTATTTGTAATAATATGATTTTACTGACATAATGCACCCAAGTTGGTCTAAGACTATGAGAACTGAGAAGATGATTGTCAATTGATGTATTTCAATCATTAGAATTCTGTTAGGACTTGTGATTGCTTTAGTTGTATGTATTGCTGTTTTCTATTTTAATTTTTTTTTTATATAGAATTTTAGGGATAAACTCTTGGGCTGAAGTTTTTACTATATGGGCTAGGGTAATTTCATATGGTAACTACGTATTATTAGGGCCTCTTACGAGAAAATGAGATGATGCCTTTGAAAAGGAATTAAAATTGAAATATTTGGAAGAGATGCGCTCTTCTTCTCTCTGCTTCTTGGCTTTTTTTCTTCTATGTTAAATTAAATCTCTTTACTCTCTTTCTTCTCATATTTTTATCTTCTCTTCCTCCCTCATCTCTTATTTGTATCTTCTCTCTGTCCCTCTTCTCTTCTCTTCTCTTTATTTATTTATTTATTTGATAAATTTTTCCTCTTCTCTTCTCTCTTCGTTAATATCTCTTCTTCTCTTCTGAGTGGCTTGGAAGATCTGATGTGCACTCTATCTCATCATGCCATTATTGGCCACTACTGAAGAAAGTCTCATGAGAGCCAGGTCACATCAGCATATTTGTGTTATGTAACTGCACTTGCAACTTAGGGCTGGATGGTTTCTTTTCTCCCTTTCCTTTTATTAGGGTGTTCACAGGTCAGTTGGCTCAGGTTTGCAGTCTTAACCAGCACTCGAACCGACCCCTTCGGTTTGGCACTAATATCAACCTCTGTTGACCGCCGTTTTCCTCGAACTCGACCGCACTTTCGTTTGGTTTTGTTAGTCGGCTTTGCCGGTTTCACAGAAAGAATACAAGATTCAGCTATCAATCATCAGATCTAAGAAAGTCACATCCAGACCTGTAGAGAGAGATCTGAAAGCGTGGAGAGTTAGTAGAGTGAATAAAGGAACTCACTGCCACCATCGCCATTGCAAGTCCACCGCCACAACTACGAGTATGCTACCGTCACACGCATCGTCGTTGCGAGCTCAGAGGAGGTGAGCTTGTAGGGAGAACTACTTTCACCATCTTTGATGTTGCAATATAGGGGTTGGTTGAGTTTGAGAACTCTGCTACGTTGAGAGAGAGAGAGAGAGAGAGAGAGAAGGAGGGTTGGGTTTCCCAGGCTGTCTTTTGGGTTTCCAAGTCTGAGAAGTTTAAGGTATTTTAAAATGGTTTTTGGTTCAAGCTTCCTATCAATGACCGACAGTGAACTTGTTAAAACAATAGATTTACACCCACAACCGAACCACAGCACATGCAAAACTGTCCGTAGCTCGTCGGGTGGGTTCGGATTGGATGGTTTGCCAGGTCTCCAGGTTAGATGAACAGTCCTACTTTTTTATCATTGCTTTTTTTCTAGGCAATGCTTGTACGATTTTTCTTTTTCTTTTTTTCTTCCTTTTTTTTTTTTTTTTTTTTGTTGCATGTATGTCAGGTTAAAGAAGAACAAGTGCAACTTCAAATGCAATGGTAATACCTTAGGTAATTGATGTATTTGCATCAGGAGTAAAACAGTTGTTTAAGTAGATCATATAATACCATGTGAAATGGTAGTAGATAGGTATTTGTCAATCATTTTGATAATGAGAAATTTTGAAGACTTTTTTGATGTGATTTGTGTTAGTGGAATGATCATTTGGTACTAGTAGTGATATCAAGAAATTTATCGAAGTGATAAATGTTGGGGATATTTTGGCTTTTGTTTGTGAGTTTTGATTTATTTTTAGTTTATTTGTGTTATGTGGGAAGTGTAAGTAGTTGAATTGTTTGTTTGTTTTTTTTTAAATTCTCAGTGATAAATGTACTAAGTTATTGTATGAACAGTACAAAACTAAGTTATTTGTAGCCACTGCAAGTACCAGTTAATGCATTATTTACCAAGCTGATATATATATACTTTAATTCTCGTTGTTTTTATGACTACAAGTTGCATCATGCAATTTTGGATTTTTATTTTTATATTTTTTTAAACCTGTTTTCATTATTCATATTGATCATCAAGCCATCCAAATTTCCCTTGTATGCAGAATGGCAGTGCTGCTCCAAAGTCACGCATTCCTCAAATGGTTGCTCAAACACTGGGTTTTGGCCAAAACCTGCTGCTGCTGGTGATAGTAATTGCACCCCCCAACCAAAAAAAAATAAAAAATGGAGTAAATTCTTGAGTTTTTATTTATTTATTTATGGGTACCTAGAATTATAGTTCAACAGTAATAATAATATACATTCACAAAAAGATCGTACACAAGCTGTATTGAGATTTATCATTTTTAAATACTGTGCTCATTTTTGACCTCCTAATTACAATGTCATTGACACTGAGCTCTTATGGCATCTAATTGTTAACAGGGAAGTTACTTCCAAAATGATTAAGATCAAGCAGAAATAATTAATGTTCTTATTTTGGTTTGCTGAATTAACTTTTTAGTTTATTCATATGCATCAGCGGTTTCTGAATTAATTTGTGTTTTCATTTTTCAGGTCAGAAATTTTTTGGAGAGATGCAAAATATGGTCCAAGAATTAAAGAACTTACTTTTTTAAGTTTTTTCATTTTTTAATATATGTAAGCACAGATAATTTTTTTTATTTAATTCCTTTGTATATAGTTTTGAATATTTAATTTCCATTTATGAAATATATGACGTTATTCTATTCAATATGCGGTTATGATTCAAAATATAGTATATAGTGTGGCCACGTGTCCTGGTAGTTATGCCGAGATGATCTCGGAATTGCCGAGGTTATCCCCGAAGATATCGGAATCCGAGATAAGCAGATAAGGGACAAGATTCCTAAGACAAAGAGGGGACTTAACCAAGATAAGGATAAAGCTCTTAGGGAGTTTTATCTTTATCTCTTATAGAGTCCAGAGTAAGCACTAAATTGGAGTTCATAGAAGTCATACTTCTAGTGGGACTTGGATTGAGTATATTATAAAAGAGAGGCACCCCCGTGGGTCTAAGGTATGTAATTTATGTTTTGAGTATTCAGTTTAGCACTTGATTATCTTTGAGAGATATACTGACTTGATCGTCGGAGTGTCCCCGGGTGGAAGAACCACCGCCGGAGCTTTTTCTTTCTATTACAGGTTGCTAAAGCCATCTATTTTGCCCGTGCTCTCCAGCTGATCACTAAACGGGCAGTGTGGTCAGATTTTCACCCACACAATACCTTTTGGCATAAGCCTTGAGACTTTCATCATGGCCAATTCTCAGAGCCATCAAGGAGTCCACCCTCAACGGCTATAGTTTGTTTGTCACAAACTTGGCCACGAACATCTCGGCCAGGCTTTCCCAACTTTTCATAATTCCTTTCGGCAACTTGTGAAACTAGTCTGATACGATTTCTCAAAAAGGATGAGGGGGACACCTTGCAGAGCAACGGCTCATTCCCGATGTACAGTGCCATTGAGTTCAGATGCAAGTCGACGTTAGGGTTTGACTTACCGTCGTATATGTAGAATCTCGGCATGTGGAACCTTTTTGGGGACTCAGATTTGTCTAATTCTACCGAAAATGACATTCTCAGCTTAACCGGAGAGGTTACCTCGGCATCTTGTCACTTTCTCTGGAGGTAATCCCTCAAATCCTCTTTGGTCCGTCCAGGAGCTCGGCTATCAACAGATTTCAGTCTTTTTGGTGCGCTATTCCTGGTGTCGCTATAATTCTTTTTGGACCTTCCTCTATTAGTCATGTCGAAACAAAGCTCCTTTCCTTGAACATGCCGATGTTCTTTGGTGTAAGCTTCTTTGGTACGACGTGTCCCTTGAGACTCTCCTTTTATCGACTCTCCCCGCCCGACCTCCCATGAAGACCGGTGAGAATGTTCCTTTATCACGTTGAGGGACTGCAGGACCTGTTTTCTGCCCCCCTTTCTGGGCATCGTTCTTGGCTGTTGGAATCAGCGTGTCTTGTAACGGAAACGGTGGCTACATGACGTTATTCTGCATCATGAAACTGATAACCGATTGCAGGTCTTCCAATTTGTTCGCCATTCCCTTCATCTCGTCGTCCCTTCGCAGGCACCTATCTTTCCATACTTAGAGGTCGTTCTCGTTATAATATTCGCCTCGGTCTGCCTTATTTGGTACGTCTCCCTTCTGGCCGACGTTTTTCTCTCTGAGATTCTTATCCCGAGTTTCTTCGTTGCAGTTATCATCCTTTATGTTAGGGTCAATATGTTTACCACTCCCAGTAGGGATGTCGTCTCCAAACTTCTCTTTTCTATCTGTTGTTGGCAATCTATTCTCCTTTCTTTCCTACAAACGGCGCCAAATTGTGGGTGTTGATTTCTAATCACATTGCCAAACAAGTACCCAGCTAGAGACTGCCAAACAAGTACCCAACTGGAGAACACCGGTAGAATAGATCTCCTCCGAACAATCGGCCACAGAAAGATAAGACTTCGGCGGTAGTTCGTCCACTCGGGGGCACTCCGATGATCAAGTCAATACTCAGTTATCTCTCAAAGACAGCAATTAGTGCTCAACTCACCAGTTAGAATACAAAAAGCGTACCTTAGATCCACGAGGATGCCTTACTTTTATAGCCAGCATTGACTTAATCTCCGTAGAAGCCTAGTTTCAATGGATTCTGTCTCAATACTTATCCTAGACTCTCAAATATATAAAGATAAACTTCCTAGGAGTCTTATCCTTATCCAGACTGAGGTCCTCTCCCATTCTTAGACTCTTAACCCTTATCCGTTCATCTCGAATTCTGGTATCTCCGCAAATAACCTTGGTCTTGCTGAGATCAAATCGGCACCATGACCAGGACATTTCGGTGTCACATTAGCCACGTATTGTCATTCACAAAAATATGCCCCCACAATTTTTTTTTCTTTCTTGTTGCTGTCTTAAAATCAACAACTTTGAACGTTATCCCAAATTTTAATTGCATCTTTCAAAACCAATGACATCAAACACCTCACATTTCCACAAAAAACTATTCATAATAAAATGGAGAAAAATATAAAGTAAATGCCATTATTTATTTACGTCAGTATATATATCAAAAAAAAATACAATGATCTAATCATCACCTCACCCCTGTGAAACTATAGCATAACCACCTAAATCCCATATCAATAAACAAAACAAAGGTATAAAATATAAAAAAAAAGATTCTAAATTCATAAAACTAAATACAATCCTCTCATATAGATTGAGTTCTACTAAATGTGTAGATCTCACTCAACCTGAGAAAATTGTATCCGTTTCTATGACCTAGAACAAGGAAAAGATACATATCACCTATAGAATCAACAGATACTCAATGGCATAAAATAAAAATAAAAAAATAATAGAAGAATAAGCTCTGCAGATCAGAATAAGAACAATCGTGCCCATCGATGAGAAATCGATCTTCCAAACCCGCACTACCAATCGATTCCACACCTAACAGTCTCAAAGCTGCCAGAGACACTCCCATTAGACGCCAATGGAACCTTCAAGTCACACTCAATCTTCGGCTTGAACTTAGGAGTCTTAACACTCCTCAACTTAAACCTAACCGTAAGATAAAGCTTCATATCAATACTATAAGATCCCGAACTCTTCTCTGAATCATACTTTGCAATCTCTGAATTCAAACTCACTATGTTGTGGCTCTTAAACACAAACCCAAGTTCAGTAGTATTCTTATGTCCCTGATAAAACGGAGTCAGAGATTCGGCGGCGAAGCGCTGGTCCTCGTAATAAACACGGGCGTCGAGGCGGTCGTAGTAGATGCCGATGTGTTTGTTAGGGTTGCGGATGGTGAGATTGAGAGAGAGGTCGTAGTAGAGGGTGTTGGTGGTGGTATTTAGGTCGAATTGTGTTAGGGTTGCGTCGGTGACGTGGAATTTGACTTTGTTGGGTCGGAAGACGAGCCAGAAGACGAGGACGACGATGCCGGCGATGAAAATGAGAGTGATGAGGATTTTGAAGATGAGGGCGAAGAGGCAGCCGCAGCAGCCGCAGCCGCCGTGGCTGCGGCCGGGGCGGGGGGGGGGTTTGGGGGAGCCGCAGCAGCCGCAGCCGCCGTGGCTGCGGCCGGGGCGGTGGGAGGTTTTGGAGGGGGGTGGGATTGAGGGGCCGTAGTAGGCTCCGTTTAGTTGTGGTTGTTTGGTGTTATCAGCCATGGTTTTGGAGAAAAAAAAATGAGAGAAAATGAGAGAGATGGGTTTTGGGGATTGTGTAGGAGGTAGAATGGAAGTGATATATGTTAATATTGATTTGGGGATGGTGTAGGAGGTAGAATGGAAGTGATATATGTTAATATTGATATGTGGTGGATATCATATATATAGAGTAATAATGTGTGTTGTGTCTGAATAATGAGGATATGATAGGAGGCGTTTGGTTTATTCGTTGATGGAAATAGGATTACGGCACTTCGTGTGCGCGTGAATAAGATTTTCATTTGTGGAATAACGCGGTTGCTTACGTGTGAAGAAGGAGGTTGGCTGGTATCTTCTGAAAGCCCACAAATTCTATAAGAAAATTTGGCACAATATTAGGGTGAGACCCACATCGATGTTACATGTAGGACCCACAAGTGATTTTTGAATACAATATTTTAGGGTTTTTTTTTTAAATTTTTTATTATCGATCAACTTCTTAGCTCACAACATATAAGAGTTTTAAAAATTATTTTTTTTACCTCTAAAAGTGAAAATTTGTTATGAAAGACATTTAATAATTAATTTCTATCAACGTGAGAATACTATCGTGCTAAAAAGTCAAAAACAATTTTAGCGATAAAATTTTAAAAATATCACTAATAAATAACCTTTTAGAGACAAAATGATTTAATTTTTGAGACAAAAAATTTGATCTTAAAAAAATAATAATTCATCACTAATGTTCAATTTTTGTTGTTAAAAATATAATAATGACACTTTTCACAACAAAAATATTTAGTCTTTAAAAAATAATTTTGTCTCAAAATTTTAATTTTTAAAATTTTAATTTTTTGTAATGGCCCGTGTGTATGTCCGATCTATATAGAAGGGGGCGTCTTGCATAGATGTTAGTCAAGTTATACGTAAGCTTACCTGAATATCCGGTGATAAAAAAAAAATTCATGAAATGACCCACAACAACAAAACTATTCACACTAGTCATTTTGAAAATCTGAAACATCTGAAAATCTGGAACAACTTTTGGGTAAAATTCCTTATTATTCGGAAAATTATTGATTAGCCCTATAATACCATAATTTATCAACAATATGCATCACCCACCTCACTTTTAGGGTAAAATTCAAGACACAATTTCAAGGTCCATAACATTTTCTATTGTTTATATGGCATTTCTCTATTTAATGAGAAATTGCAAAAAGAGTTACTCATTGTTTCTAACTTAGGTCAAGTTTGGCTAAACTAAAAAAGTGCATTTATTTTATCTTTTTATCTTTTTTAAGTCATATCAATCAAAATCTCCTCTCTACTTTTTCTACACATAATACAAGAAAAGTCAAAAAATACACTTATTTAGTCTTTCCAAACTTGTGGATCAATATTAGAATTCACTATTACAGCTACACTGTTAATTGAGAGTATCACATGGATAATCTGAAACCACTCAATAATTATTTGATATCCTTCAAAAAAAATAAAAAACATAAAAAAATAAAAATAATTATTTGATACTTCCATATTACCAAATTGCATTGTTTGTATGAAAAGAGTGTCAATATATCTCAGTTATAAAGTTTTTTAGTACATAATTAATTTAAAACATTACGTAAATAATAGTAATCAGTGTGTTTGGTTTGAGTTTTTTGGATTAAGTTTTTTTAAAATTGAGTTTTTTGGTTTTCGTATTCTTTTGTTTTAGTGAATATTTTTTAAATTTTAAATATTTTTTTTAAAATTTTTTTAGATGCACCTTAGTTAGATGTATCTAAAAAGTAAAAAATTTGTAAAAAAATATTTTAGAAAATTAATAAATACATAAAAATACAAAAAATGTACTGAATTCTTGTATTTTTTTTTTGTATTTTTGGTATTTAGTGAATTTTTAAAAGATTTTTTTTACAATTTTTTTACTTTTTAAGTGTATTTATGTTAGGTGTGTCTAAAAAGTAAAAAAATTACTTAAAATATTAAAAAAATTCAGTAAAAATAAAAAAATACGAAAAATAAGAAAATAAATTTTTTTTAAAATTATATTCTTAAAAATGATAACAAGCAAGCTGAATAAAACTTCCTATGTTTTCCGTCTATTGACTTCGGACACGGTACCAGATCTTTCACATTCAGAAGGCGATGTTTAGTTATTACCTGGATGGTTTTCTGTTCCTTCTCTATGAGCAATTCCATTTACACGTTGAGCAATACTATAGACCACTAATTTACCATTATTAATACCATCATTAGTGAGGTGGCAATTGAAAAAAAAAAAAAAAAAACAAGGCAAAAAACACAAGAAAAAAAAAAACAAGGCACAAAACACATGTGGCAGTGGATGGGACCCACTGCCACATCATTAGAGTCACCACTAATTAATGATCTAAAGCATTTTTGTTTACACGTTTTGCATTTATTGGTTTAATTAATTTATTATTTTTATATTAGTACTTTGAAAGACAGATAACGAACAATAATTAATATGGAGCAATCTTCCAAGTACATTCAATATTTTTTATTTTAATTTTTTTAGAGTTTGAGATCCATGTTTACGACTTTGACTCCTTTGATTACAAGGTAGATTAACAAAAATTATTTTATACTTTTTTATTATCATTATTATTATTTTTGATTCAAATGTTCAATGTTGGGGTCGTCATTGATGCGAAATATTTTATTTAATAATAAAATATTAAATGAGATGGGTAAATTTATGCATATAACTATCAGCTGTATATTGGCAACAATAACAAATGTTAATAATGATTTAATATTACTGTTATATTGAGGGCTCTTTTGGGAACAATGGTAAAAAGCCAAAAAGTTGGCTTTTTAGCTTTTTTTAGCCAAAAAAGGCAACTTTTTTATCCAAAACAACCCAACTTTTTACCAAAAAAACCACTAAAAAAGCCAAAAAGTCAGCTTTTTACCAACTTCCCAAAACACCCCTGAAGCTTTTATCCTTGGTGTGATGGCAAAAGAAAAGAGAAACAGTGAGAATTGTTTTGAATATGATTTATAAATTGACACTTTTATTTATAATGAAAATACGTGAAAAAATATGTCAATAATATGACTAAAATAAATTAATACGATGCTTATTTATATGTCCAAAAGGCTTAAATTGTTTGGGGTGTTTTAAATAAGTGTACTTTTTTTTTGACTAAAAAATTGAGAAAAAAAATATGGATGTTTGGGTTAATTTTTTAACTTTTTATGAAAAAATATGTATTAAAATATTTGTATAAATAAGTGTGTAGGAGAAGATAATTAATGAATCCGTACAGTTGAACAGTGCCTCAGCTGAAAAGGATATGGGAAAAGATTGCCTATTTTTTGGCCTTTGATTGGACGGTGTTGTTCGGCTTGTGGGGCCCCACCACGGGTCTCGTTTTTCAAATCGGAACCGTGCAATGTGTAGAACTCGTCGAGTACTATATTCTTATTAAAAATCACGTTCATTGAATATCGATAGCTATCTGATCGTGTTTGTTTTTTTTTTCACGTGTTAATTATAACACCATCTATTTTATATACAAAACTGATTTGATCATGTAGTTAGTGATATCCGATAGACATGATTTTTTACAGGCATATAGTACTCGACGAGTTCTACATATTGAACGGTTCCGATTAGAAAAAAGGGACCCGTGGTGGGCCTCCATGGGCCCAACTTTACCATCCAATTTAATGAAAATACACATGTAATATTTTATTTTTTTCCTTTCATTCCTATAATTTCAGGTCTGTACATAGGCTGCCGTGAAGTTGATTGGTATTTAATATTATGTATATTAATTTTTTTATATTTTTTTGATGAATAGTGATAATTTTTTAACTTTTTTGATGACTTTTTGATAAAAAATGTGTCAGAAATTCGGTGGAGATTTGTTCAATATTGCTTGCAGAATAAATTTAAATCTCTAATTGATAATGATGAATAAAAAATCTTGATTTATAGTCTTATTACTGAGAAATTTTGTAGACATTCTAGAACTTGGGTAATTAGAACAGGTCTCTAACGAGTGAAGTGGTTAGGTATTTAGGGCTAGCCACCTACAGAGATTGGCTTTTCAAAGTTTTTTAAAATTAAAAAAAATTTAAAATCATGTAATCACCATGTGGTTAGGTATTTAGGGCTAGCCACCTACAGAGATTGGCTTTTCAGAGTTTTTTAAAATTAAAAAATTTAAAATCATGTAATTACCAAAACTTGAGATCCAGTCTGGTCATTCTTATACTCTCTTCGGTTCATGAATTTGACTAAAATATTTTATTTATATTTTACATATGAGGACATTTCTATCGGACTGGTGGGCCGGGAAAGACTCGACTTTGGCGACCTTACAAACGGACATCACAACTGGACTTTGCTAGGTTTGACTCTAACGACCTTACAAACAGACTTTACTAAACTTGACTCTGGTTGCAAATGGACTATACTAAACTTGACTCTAGCGACATTGCAAATGGACCTTACTAGGCTTGATTCTAACGATCTTACAAATGGACTTTGCTAGGCTTAACTTTGGTTACCTTGCAAACGGACCTTGCAAATAAACTTTGCTAGGTTTGACTCTGATGACCTTGTAAACGGCCTTACAAGGCTTAACTTTGACGATCTCGCAAATGGAATTTGCCAGACTTAACTTTGGCGACCTTGCAAACGGACCTTGCTAGGCTTCACAAGTTGGACCAAGCAAATGGTGCTTGGATATCGACCGAATAAACGGAACTTGGATGTCGACCTTGCAAACAGCATGTAAGTGTTAGTCGAATAAATAATGTATGATGTTAACTGTGCAAAAAGACATGCTAAGTTCTTGACCGGGTTGGAAGGTTATGCTAAGTCTTTGACTGATATGTTTAGCTTGACAAAAGTTTGTCGAGCAAGGTTAGCACGGTGTAGTGTTTTGCAATTCTTACTTGGAGCTAGTAAGGTTCAACCTCTAAGCTGTTGCGTAATTGACATGCAACTGGGCTAGTGGTTTGTTTAGCTCGGTTGTCGGCCTAGGAGTTAAGCCGTTTCACTTGAATTTAAGTGATAAGGATGTTAATGGATAAGCCTTACCTTTTGAGAAGATCACTCCTAATAGGATTCTACAAAGAGGAATTAGAGTCCTAT